CCGCTGTAATGCCTTTACGGTTTAGGGTTTAGGGTTTTAGGGTTTGAGGAAGTCACGCCGTAATGCCTTGAGGGCGGTTGACAGCATGCCCGACATCCTCCTGGGGTGCGCGGCATCAACCCTAGACCCTATAATGAACCCTGGGTGCCATGAGCCCTAAATCCTATAATAAACCCTAAACCCTAAAACCCCAAACTTCACACTATCAACCCTCATGCACGACTTAGATCTGACAACTCACGATCCAAAGGGTTCACCATATGGGCAGTTCTCTAAAATATGCTCCCTTTTGGGGTCCCTTTAAAAGAGTGCCATACTATACTGGGGACCTAAAAGGGGACCCCAATGTAGAGAACTATCCATACCTTCGGTCGCAATTTCAGAGATGCTTTGGCACGAGACACCATAGCGCGTGAAATGTTTCCGAGTGGTTTGGAGTAGTAACACAGGCTTTGGTTGCAACGTTATGCTATAGTTTTTTTGCTACTTGTTTTCGGTCCCACGTGATGATTTCTAGGCTTATGCCCTGATTGAGCCGTGCAAGCAACGTCTCAATGGCAGAAAGAAGTGAAGAAGTGCGCTTTTTGGTCGATGTCTGCCTTACATCTACAGATTTAGAGTTGGTTCGGATATTGACTTGAGGTTTTGCATATGCCTCTGGTGCTTGCCTCCGTCACCCACCTGAAGCCCTCGATCACAGAGCTCCTAGCAATCATGCACTGCCAAGGAAAGAAGAAAGGCAAGAAGTGAAGAGCGTCGTGCACTGTGTAGCTACTCCGGGTTTTGGGTGCTTCTTTGAGGCGGCGTCACCAGTGCCACAGCCATAAGGATTTGAGATGTTGGTGTAGTTTGTTATAATTAGTAGTTCGACCTCAGTCCCAGCTGTGCCTGCAAGACTGTTGTGCCAGAGGAGGCGCGAAAAGAAGGGCATCCAGGGATCATCCTCGCTCTCCTAGCAGTCCTAGCATTGCACAAGCCCCCAGCACCCGATTCCGGCGCTGAACCCCCGATCGCACACCTCTTCAGTTCCAAGCACATATCTTCAACCCTTATATATATATATATATACACACACTGCCAAGCGGGCCCCAAAACCCCGTGACACATGTCCTAAGCCCGACACCCGGGAACTCAAAAGCCTGCTGCCGGAGCTTAGGTACCTTGTGCCTTGACCCTTCAACCCACACAGTCGGATCCCAAAGACGAAGTTTTAGTTTAAAATCCACACCTTGAGCCCCGAATCCCTCAAACTATGTGTGCAGGGCACATGCCAACATCGGAAGGAACGTCTGGGTTTCTGATGAGCCCCGGGGCTCAGCATAGCACTTGAGACTTCACGGTCCAAAGCCTAGCTTCGTTCAGCACAGGAAAGCCTTAGAAGTGTGCATGCAGCAAGGTTCGACCTCAAAAAGCGAGGTATGCCTCTGGCAGAAGCCCCCCTCCCCCGACAAAAAAACGAGGCACCCTCCGCTCAAACCACGAAAACCGAAATCCGGAGCTCCAAAGACTGCAATCAGCCGCCCACCCAGGCGAGCTTGAACCCCGAGGATGTCCGAGATGAGAAGGTGAAGGCAGTTCACGTTTAGTGCTCTTGACAGAACGGATATGGGACTTTCCGAAAATAGGGGACCCTAATATAGTACCCTAAATAATAAGATCCCTATTATAAGGACCCCAAAATAAGGTACCCTAATTTTCTGAAACTCCCATATGGGGGATGGGCCGGGATGGGGGCAGGCTTTCTGTTGCATACCTATAGTCTCCATTGTAGTTCCTTTTTTTGGTTCAACCAAATATATATTAAGGATTCTATAAGGTATCCCCAAACAGGAACTACAATGGAGACTATAGGTACCTCTTTAAGGTTGAATCAAAAGCTACGGGTGTTTGCATGTTTGCCTTTCTCTCAGGGAGGCTTCGGGGTGCTGAATGGTTGGGCAGAATGTATGAAGGAGGAGTGCTTGTTCACGATGGAAGCTATGGTCAGCGAATTCGTTAGGAATTTCGATGCCTTGAACGCATGACACTCACTCAACTCTAAACAAACCGAACCTGACTGCGAAACTCTGTGGACATTGCAGATGTCGTGCGTCGGGCCGCGTCGGATTTCGATGGTGATGTTACTGCCTCGTGCTGCTGCGGAGGGTTGCAGGGTTGCATTAACCCTAAACCCTAAACCCTAAACCCTAAACCCTAAACCCTAAGCCCTAAACCCCTCGCTGTTGTGTCTGTCCGAAGACTCGATGTGGCTCTGTGTAGGGCGTGGGCAGCACGTGGCGGGCAGGGAAGATGAAGGGGTCAGGTAAGGGTTTAGGGTTTAGGGTTTAGGGTTTAGGGTTTAGGGTTTAGGGTTTAGGGTGGTCAAAAAACGTCAATCCGATGAGTTTGGGGCTTCGAGGTTGCTAAGGTTTCAATGACTTGCCAGGGGCAGGGAATCTGGGTGCTTGAGTACCATACTTTGTGTGTGTGTGTTTTACCTGTTCACTTGTTCTATACCGGACCAATGTGAAATTAATATTAATACTTGGTTCCTCCACAGCCCAGGAATGACGGCCCTGGCAGTTCCCAAACCTTACACCCCTAGCCGCAGAGAGAATTGTCGGCGATGATAGTAAATATGGCTCGGGGTCGTTCAGCGTTCCGCTTTGGCGATCATGACCAGCAGTAGCAAATACCAAAGCTGGTTTATGCTCAACATGTTTGTGGCTTTCTACACCTCCCAGCTTGACCGACTTTGACTTGACCCGACGTGTGCTCAGATTTGCCTTGCACCCAGATGCAAAAGGAAGCTATAAAATTAAACATAAGGGCAATAATCATCATAATAATGTCGTTATACTAATACTAACATAGAGCATGTATTGGACTTCTGAAACCATGTAGGAGCAAAAAGACTCTTCAGGTCCTCAAGCAATTCCGGGCGGTTCGTCGTGAGGATTGCGTTGTTGGACAGTGCCCTGGATTCAGCAGGAAACGACAGGATTCAATAGCCCTGAGGGCCCATGTGCCCAAATAGTATGTACTTTGGCCTTAAAGTAGTCTCTATATAGGTACTTTGGGGCCAAAGTAAATACATTCGGGTACATGGATGAACTCTTCGGGTAGGAGTTCATGCAGCCACTTAGGGAGCATAGGAGCATAGCCAGCTGTAAGCGTGGAGTTGAAGAACATGCAAGTTCCTCCACTGAGAAGAGAAGCATAAACACAGCTCTGTAGCGACTTTTCGACCTTGATCGTGAAATCTCCTGAGCGTTGGATTCTTGCATCAGCGCCCCAAACTTCACCTACCCCAGCACCGGGGAATATTCATTGCCGTCATCGCAGTACAACCCAGAATCCTCCTTGTTGAGCGCAGCAACAGTCTAAGTAGACATGCACTAGAACTGGTGCATATCTCACCCTAACTAAAGCCTAAATCCCTAGCCTCTCCCCTGGATTATCCGAGTTCGAGCACCGAAACCCCCAAACCCGAGTCTCATAATTCTTGAGAGTTCGGGTTGGAATG